GGCGTCGTCGAGGCAGAAGGCCTGCCTGTCTGCCCCGTTCGGTTCTATCGTCGTTATTGGCGACGGCTGTGCGCGAGGATGCACGTTCAAAACAAACCCCCGTCGGCGAACCGGGGTCGATAATTTCCATCGCGTTATCAGCGCGAGACGAGGCGTTGTCGCGATGCTCGTCGTCTACGATTATCGCGAGGGCCAGTTCCGTTTTAATACCGTGACCCATGAGATATCGGCAGAAACAGCGGACAGATAATACAACCACTGTTGCTCGTATACAAGTTGCTGGCAGTTTTTAGGTGTCTTCGACCGACGCGACCGGTTTCTATGCTCTTGTCAAATCCATCTGTCCGGAGCGACGTTTTCCTGCTGAAATCGATCCCTGGCCATATCCCGTTAACGTTATATTAACCGAATGTATCCGGCGAGGGTTTCGAAGGTACGAGAAAGACATTATTGATATGTTCTTTGCGTATCGGCATAATTAACCCGTGGTACATTTTTTCAAAACGTCCGTAAATGTTAGGACAATGATTCTTAACACTTTCAGTGTCTAGTTGTGTATAACTATTTTGTTTTTGGTAAATGTAGTCATTTTCATGTAGAACGGTTTTCAATAGAGTGACAACTCCATGTAAACATTCATGCGTTCCTCACAAATGACGTGGCACTTAAAGTGTTAAATTGAAGGGTGAAAGTAAGGCTACAAGTGTCAAAACTCCATTTCTGAAATAGTTTTTCATTCAATAAATTGTTCATTGACAAAGTAAAAATGTATGAATAATTGTGGTAATATTTTCATTCATGCTGACACTAACCTTAATGTAAACATACCGCTTGTAAACAGATAGCTCTTTAAAAAATGACACTTGTAGGCTTTTAATTCCATTCTTTAATTTAAAGTAACACTTGTATTATTAAATCAGATTAACCTTCGTTGCACAATTTTGTAAACAAAATTTTTGAGATGTACTAATAATAAATTTTATATTATAATTAATATTGTAATTTTATATAACAATAAATGTTATATTATAATATTGCAAATTTGTAATATTATATCATTGTTAAATAAATTTAATTAGAAGATATTTCAATAACAATATTATAGTTATTTTGAATAACAGTATTTAAAATATGTATATTTCTGTCTAATAAGAATTGAATAATATTTTATGACATACAAAGCAGTGCAACGAAGGGCAAATTCTTGAAATGTTACACAAAAAATTATATGTATAAATTTTGTCCAAAAGTGTACGGTAACATATCAATCAAAAGCTCCAGAAGCTAATAAAAATGTATATAAAATATTTCTCTTTCTGTCACTTCGTAAATTAGAAGAGTGGTCAATATTTCTAATCCTTGTTCACGCTTTGGTATACAAGTAGAGCTCAATGGGGTTGCCAGCAACCCCACGGTGTTCCATTCTTAACAAATACCCTGTCCGTTCCAAAATAAGTGCCACATTCAACACTTTCCACATTGGCAAAAAAGGGAGAAAGATATAAATTATAAGGTTTATTCTAAGATGATTAAATATTATATATTAAGACAGTGTTTGGTTTTTTGTATGGCTTCGGGATTACATACGGCAATGCACTTTAAATTCTTCTGCATAAGTATTCCACTGTAGTCAAGTTTTTTATTTTCACTGCTGTTGGAACAATTGTAAAATTGCGTTACATTTAGGAGTAAATATCTTTGGTACATTGGTACAATTTACTTAAAAATTCAAGAAAATATTGCAACATAAAATGTGACTAATTTTGAGATAACAAGAGACTTTATTTTCTTATCAAACTCACTCTTTGTTATTTATATAACATCATGTTTTAAATACATGTAATAAACAGTTCAAAAATCCACCCACAATTTTCGCAGTCTGTTCCTAAAAATAATTCATTTGTCTCTTACCAGATAAAAAATACCAAGATGTACACCTCCAAGAAAAATATTGCAGTCAACAATTCAATTATTCAGTTCTGACATGACTTCTCAATTAAAAAATTTCTAGATAATATTTTTTCAAGCCACACCTATTTACCGAGATTAATTTGCAATGTAGATTCAATACCGTCCACATTATCATAAACTCGTATGTAATCAAACGAACGTAATTTCTTTTGTCACAATACAACTCACGCGACTTTAAACGCGAGCCAATGAATAGTAAAAGACATAGTGATACGTTTACTACGAAAGAAAAATAGTGTTAGCGTCGCTATTCGTACGGATGTGAAAACGTGGACACATGTAAACAGTAAATATTGAACGTGGAAAGCCGTGGAAAGGTCATTGTCACGCTAACAGCTTTGTAACCTTCGCTCCACGGTTGGTAGCACTGCATGCTGTTGAGAACGCACACCGTGGATGATGTAACGGTAGACGCAACACGTTACATATGCGTGCATGTCAATCATATTTTCACACAATTGTGCGACGGGGTAGCTTCATTCAGATGTCGAATTCAATTAGTAATTCTTTTTCCTCCTATTGTCTTTTATTCAAGAATTATCGTATCGATGAACTTGTTGCTGGTTGAGCGGCGTACTCGATGGCAGGTCTTTTCTAGGGGAATAGTTTGTGGGTTGATTTAGGATTTTAGGGACCTTTAGGGGAATTTAGGAATTTTAGGGGAGGTCGGAATTGGAATTTGGGAGTTTGGGAGTTAAGGAATTTGGAAATTAGGGAATTAGGGAATTAGGGAATTAGGGAATTAGGGAATTTGGTAATTTGAAATTTGGGGAATTTAGGAATATGTGATATTTGAAAATTGGGGGAATCTAGGGAATTTGGGAATGTGGGAAATTTGGGAATATGGCAAATTTGGGAATCTGGGAAATTTGGGAATTTGGAGAATCTGGGAAATTTGGAAACTTGGGGAATTTGGAAATTTGGGAAATTTAAGAATCTAGAGAATGTGGGAATCTAGGGAATGTGGGACTCAGGGGAATTTGGGAATCTAGGGAATTTAGGAATCTAGGAAATTTGGGAATTTGGGGAATCTGAAAAAATTTAAGAAGCCTAAAAATTGGAGAATCTGGAAAATTTGGAAACTTGGGGAATTTGGAAATTTGGGAAAT